TTCGCAGTGAATCAACCTTCTCTGAGATGGCATCTGTGATAAGCCCAAGCATCATTGCAAATATCAGCATGCCCCCAGAACTTACAGAGATGGAAACAATCCTGGCTCCAGTTCCAGCTCTATCAGCATGATTTCCAGAGTCAGCCACAAAAGTCCATGACAGCCAAAGTGCTTCAGCTAAGCTACTATCACTAACTGCATACAATGCTAAACCGCCGAATCCTATCAGAAATATAGTTGCAAAAAGGAGTGCAAGCAACTTTGCATATGGGTATACAGAGAAACAGACATCCACCATATACGCAATTCTCTTCTTCAAGGGAACCTCTTCCTTGTCATACTTCAGTCTATTTGAGAGAGGTTTTATTTTTGGAAGATGATCGAGATATTTGTACAGCAGAAAAGGCATAATAAGTGTGAAAACCACTGTATATAGAGCAATAGTTCTACTGTCTGTATTGCCAAAAGAAGACAAGGAATTATCATTATCAGTCTGCAAAACTTCAGTGTTGTCACCACCAACATCTTTGACATTGCAACATCTACGAAGGTTAACGTTCTCTCCCTGCAAGTGGAATACCATATTTATGAAAGAACTTTGTCATAAGCTTCTAAATCATTGCTTGATGCAATAAAAGTATAAAAAGTAAAAAAATAAAAAACCATAATTGAAGGGAAAACTTCAGACATTCTCATCTTGTTTAAATGTCTGCTTGCAAAGAAAATACAAACTAAAAGCTGATCAGGCAATTTAATTACACTAAATTTAATAACTGATAAAACCTAGGATTTCAAAATTTAGATTTTTCAAAACTACTAAGGTAGCAGTTGACTGACAGAAAAAGGTAATGGACTTGAACAAGGTGCAATGCACATGCTCCAAATACCATCTTGAATCCAAAGACTTACCTACCAGATTCATTGGTCTATGCGGAATAATCACACACTATCACATGCGAACCCAACAATGGCAAAAAAGCAAAACTTCTACATTTAAGCACGAATAACAAGTTTCCTATAGATCAAAGACAATTAACCATGAAGAAGAAGAAGCAGCAGCAGCAGCAGCAGAAGAAGAAGAACACAATGCACCACCATAAACTTAGGGAAAAAAAAAAAAGAAGGAAGAAGAAGAAAATATAAAGATACCTCTAGCCTCCAAACTTTGTTTTGTAAGTAAAATGTCAAACATACAGAGAATATACCCATACAAATGACCTGCAAGAACTAGCAAAATTAAAAAAAAAAAAGAAAAAAAAGAAAAAGAAAAAGAAAAAAAAGAAGCATTAGAAACTTCAAATTTTAAAAACATATAAATGCACAGATTAACCATACTGGCTTCCTTTTTCTCCTTGCCTATTCATATCTTTCATAAAAATTCTCATTTTTTGATTTTCTACTAATTGTTCTAGTAATTCAAACATGATACTAATTTTTACTTCAAATTATTAAAACCTTAAATATGTCGACTTTATGATTTTATGTTGTCTATGTGCTTGTGAGAGTTGTTTTTCTTCTTCCTTTTGTGCAATATTCCAAAAGATTGGAGCTTCAAATTTTCTTCCAAAGTCTTACCAAGTAAAAGATGAAGGAACGGTTGAATCTCGATGGAAGAGTACTCGCAGAGGACTGACTCACCTCCCTTGAGTAAGTCACCAAAATTTGACTCGCCGCATTCCTCACTTCTTCCTCCTCCTCATCATTAGCCCCAAGTAGCTGCTTTAGCTTCTCATCCACCAGTTTGCCCTGCACCCCGCCTGCTTCTCGCCCACCGCCTTCGATCTGTGACTTACACGGTTTCACCGTAACTTCCCGATTACTAACGGCGTGTGGACCCAGAAACGACGGGTAAAGCCAATCCCTTTCCGATGCACCAGCGGCATCCACATTGCTAACATTGCCAACATTGACTTCTTCAATCTCATCCGAATCATAGAGATCAAGGGACGAAGGAAGGGAGGATACGTGACGAACAGCAGGGAACAGAGGGCCTGGAAAATGCTGTGTGGAGCAACCGTCGTCGTCTGACGCTATAGTCCTTGACTTCTTCAGTACCGGCGGCCTTTCTGCTTTCGGAGGACTGGGGTTTCGCATTGCCGTTACGGAAAAGAAATCTCCGAAATCAACTGCAGGAATCACAAACCAGAAGAATCGAAGCTCCCGAACCCATTGAAATGCAGATCTAAAAGAGAACTAAATCGCAATCCAGTTCCAGCTCGAAAAGCTTGGATGGAAAACTCGAGAGTACGCAGCTTTGTCGTTTCTAGTGCCAATTATTCTCTGTTTCTTTTTTCTAGAAAGATAATATTATTAAAGTTCAGGTGGATATGGACCGATGACGACTGGGACAGGTTAGTCCGGTGACGTAGCAGAGCGACGGCACTGGCGGTGCGGCGAATCAGTCTTTACGTAGTGTTTTTTTTTTATTTTTTGGGGTTTCACAGTTTTTCAGTTGAAATAATTGGGAACTGGCGGGTAAATGTGGAATTAAATATCTGAGAAAATGTTAAAAAAGTTTTATGAAATGAAAAATTAATATTAAAAATACAAGCTTAATTTTTTTTTTTAACGAGAGTAATGGTTAGTAGTTAGGTTAAAAAATGTTAATAATTGGGGATTCGATCTTAGAACAGATGATCTCCCACCCTCTCGTTGAGACGCGCAACCCATCAGACAACATAATAAAGTTCAAAATGCAAGCTTAATAAGTCTCAATTTATATTATAAAAAATTAAATAAAAAATATTTTAAAATTATATTATTTTAATAAAATTTTATTAAAAATTAAAATGAAATTATTTTAATATTTTTTATACTTTATTAAAATAATATAATTTTAAAATATTTTTTACTTAATTTTTACAATACAAATTAATACTCACTCTTCCCTCAAAATATTTGTATTGAAATTAATTCATAATTTTCCGATGAATAATGAAAAATAAAACAAAAATTTA